CCCTAATTGTTATGATAAATTAATTTGTATAATTAATTTAGGGAAATGAGAAATTGAATAGGAAATATTCAAATTGGAAAGGTATGAGATTAGAGGGTGTAGTTGGATTAATTTATCGCTCACCTAGACAAAATGTTGATATTTTATCCAGTTGGTGCATTTATTTTCTATTTAGAAATAACTGCTTTGAGCTATCGGTGGAGGATAGTCTTGATTGTTGTAGACAATGCATGATGATTAGGCAAATTAAAACTAATCAATTGAGTATGCTATCAAGTATGGTGGTTGGTATAATACATCAAAACATTGTATTAATTGATTGAACATGTATATGATAATTGTTTATATACATTGTATTGTGTGGGAGGAGATGGGGGATGTACTCTACGGTTTATTGGATGATGGGTGATGGACCTCTAAACCGAATATTGTTTGACATTGATACAACACTACCATGTGTATCATTTGTGAATTATAGAAGTGTTTTGATTGACATTGATATAGCACTAAAATGTGTATCATTTGTCTTGATTGATTAAATTTGTATATGATAATTGCTTATATACATTGTATTATGTGGGAGGAGATGGGGGATGTACTCCACGGTTTATTGGAAGATGGGGGATGGACCTCTAAACCGGATTTTGTTTGAGATTGATACAACACTAAAATGTGTATCATTTGTGAAGTATGGAAGTGTTTGTTTGATTTGATATAGCACTAAAATGTATGTCATTATCATTTGTGAAGCATGGAAGTGTTTGTTTGATTTGATATAGCACTAAAATGTATATCTGTATCATTTGTGAAATATGAAAATCTTTTTGTTGACTTTGATACAGCACCAAAAAGTGTATCCATTATGAATTTTGAAAGTATTTTAGTGATGAGTTATCATCTCATTAAATTATGTGGCCAGACTCCGAGCCTTGTTTTCAAACTTAAAGTTGGATAAGAAATGGAAATGAATTGTAATATGGGCATGATTGTCATGAAACTGTAACATGGTATACGTTGGAATATAAGTGTGGACCATCTATCTAATGTTATTGTTTTAGTCATTGTTTATAGTTGGTTTAGTGTATTTCTACTGGGCTGTGACTCACCCTGTATAGGACTTCATTTTCAGGTATTGATGGTATGCTACCTCCAAGAACATAGCTTGGGAGGTTAGAGGCAGACAAACTATTTTGTTGTTGTGTTTTCTTTGGATATATTTCATGTAAATTCAAGCAAAAGGTTTAATATGTATTTGAGTTAGTACTCTCTTTTTGTAACCAAGTGTTGACTTGGAAAGTTGTAAGCCTATAGGGCAGTTACTTTTGTTGTCAATGTGTAATACAATTTGTAAGGATATTCTAATGATTGTAATATAATATCTCTTTCTTGTTACTTGACTGTATGATGTTATGGGTTTATTTTGAAGGCGTTACAATAATGGTTATTTTGATTGAAAATAAAGAGACAATGATAAGTCATATTATTATCTATGAAAATTTTAATATAATGATGATATCTATCATTATTGACATGCAAATATAATTAATTTTAATGAAGATATGAAATTTATTGGATTGTTAGTTACATTTGACACATGGAGTTTATCCTCTATGTAGAGTTTGTCCTCTATGTGTTTCTTTCCATTTATAACTAAAATGACTACTATATAAATTATAATCAAGCAACGCATCTTTATTTATAAAAAATAAAAAAATTACAATAAGTCATGACTAATATTAAAATGAGTTATAACTAACTATTACTTGATATTCATAACCAAAATAACAACCACGAGAAGTTATAACTAAATTATATCTAACACTATAATTTGTTATAACTAAAGACCACAAAAATCATAATTGTGACATATGATAGACACTTTTTTTTGCAGTATGTTGTATAGAATTTCTCTAATAAAATATATCATTTCTATCTCTATTTATCTTCTTTTTAAATTTTCCAATCCACCTATAAAATAGGTACTCCCCAATATTTGTATAAAATTTAATCTCAAGTCCTTTAATTTAAAATTCATATTTATCCAAATGAACTCTTTATATTTAAGTTTAATAATATCTCATTGTTGTTTATTATGAAAAATAAAATAAAATAAATGTTATCATTTATATGTGTCCCCTCTTCACTGAATTCCTGACTACGCTACTGCAAACATGATAATGAATATCATGATAGATGATTATTTCACACAGTTTATTTCAATAAACCACACATAATATATGACCTAAATTTTAGGAGCCCTAATTTTTAGATAGAATTTGGAGGTCCGAGGCACCCAGTCGCCTTGCCTCATGGTTGAGCTTGTGCTTACACATTTTCAATGTTTTGCTTTTAGCTTCTCAGTCACAAAATCCTGGTTTCATCTTAGCGGTAGGAATGGTAATGGACCGGGGCGGGGATCACACTCCCCGTCCCCAATCCCCAATGGTAGAAATTTTTCCGTTCCCGACCTCGATCCTCGATAGGGAGCCTATCACTGCCCCCGTTCCCTAACGGGGATCGGGTTTCCCCTACCCCAAAACTTCCCCGATCAAAATAAAAAAAAACAACAACAAACACATATTCAACAACAGAGATTCAACATATATATCAGCAACAACAACAATCATATTTGTTTTTCATCATCAACATCAGAACTCAGAGCTATATTCAACAAATCTAAGCTCAAACATATATTCAACACTATACTTAACATACATAACAGATCGAACAGATCTGAGCACAAAAAAATAAAAAATAATAAAAATTAACACATTCAGAGAGAAAGACGACTGCAATCGACGACGATGGAGAGACGACAGAACTCTGACGATGATGGGAGAAGGGACAACGGTGATGGAGATGAGGGATGACGGCGATAGGGAGGAAGGACAGCGGCGATGGGGAGGAGGGACAGCGGACAGCGGCAAATCGGCGATGGAGATGAGGGACAACGGCGATGGAGGGACGACGGCGATCGGCGGTGATAAGAGGAGGAGATTAGACTCAGAGAAATGAAATGAATTAGGTGAGTGAGGGAGGCAGAGTAACATATATATATATATATGGAGAATGTTCGGGGAATATTCGGGGATTTATGCGGGGATAATTGGGGGCGAGGCCGGGGCCGGGGTAACCTATCCCTGTCCCCGGCCCGAGGCCGGGGCCGGGGTAACCTATCCCTGTCCCCGGCCCGAAAACTATCGGGGATTCAATTTTCAATACCATCCCCGGCCCTACGGGGGTAATTTTCACGGAAAACCGGTTCTAATCGAAGTCGGGGGATTGGGTCTCCATCGGGCCGAGTTCAAATTGCCATCCCTACTTAGCGATGGCAATAATAACAAGAAAGAGAGACTGATAAGTGATGGTATGAATGGAAGAGAGGTTGTGGTCATGGGGGACGGCCAACAGTGGATGCAGAAAGAGGGGAAGAGTTTTTTTTGTTAATCTTATTAACTTATGACATCATGTGTTTTGTAATTAATTTTAAACATTTCATTTCTATTGGAATTTTGGCAAATATTTAACTGATATGTAATTTTTATTTTTATTTTTGCCTTTTAATTGTTGGAGGGGATGAGCTCCTCTCCATACCTGCATCTCTACATGCCCTTCCATATCTCTTTTATGGGTCCCAATCTAAACCCACACCAATAAGGTAATCGGCTACCACATGGGCCTCACAATAAAGATAATTTATACAAAAAATTAATTTCATCGAATATCTATAAACACATGAGCAAATCATATTTTGTTTTATAAAATGAATGACGACTATGTTTAGAATATAATTTTATAAAATCTAGTTAGATGGCCAAATTCCAGACTAAATTTTTTAGAAAAAATATTATGAATCCCAAATAATTTATTAATTTTTTTATTAAATCTCTCAATGGAGTGTGGACTCACACAAACTCATGATGGTGGTGGTAATCCATCACCTTCCTATCGTAGTGGCATGAAAAACATTAAAATTGTGTTTGGTTTATGAATTTAGGGAGAGATTTAAAAAGAAAAATAAAAATAAAAAAAATTAAGTAAAATGTGAATAAATTATAATTACATTTTACTTACATTTTATATACCTTTTCCTTTCTAAATCACTCTTTAAATCTACGAATTAAACACAATCCAAAGGAATAGCTTCAAGTTTTCAACCACCACGGACAAGAGAACTACTTGCAAGTAATTAAGGGGCAGTGCTGCATACCCCACTAGGGGCTTACCCCAACACCCCCACCCTACGTGGAGACTGTGAGAGGAAGACCCAAACAAATAAATAAAAAAATTTCAACCAAATTTGATATATTATTAAAAGTAAATATATATATATATTTTTTATATTCATGAGTTTTATCAAGCTGAATTTGAAATTACTCAAACTTGGCTCGATTAATAAACGAGTCTAAAAATCAAATTTAAACTTATTTATTTAATAAACGAATTAAATTTAGACGAATTTTAAACGAGCCGAATTCAAACGGCTCATAAACAGTTCAGCTTGTTTTTAGAGCATCTCCAACGGTAGTAGGCATTTTACCTATCTGAATATTACTATAAAGTATATATTTTATTTTGCCTATCAACTGTTTTATGTTTTTACTCCAACCATGCTCTTTATTTTAGCTATTTATCCAAATACTATTAATTTTATAGAATGCCACGTCAACAACAAAGATGGAGGGAAATGATCCTAATGAATGAATACATTTTGCCTAGCGTTGAAGGCTAGCTACATGTAGCTAGTGACTATGAGTTGAGCCAAAATGCCTAATCATATGCCTAGTGCATTGGATTTGAAAAAAGTGAATTACACTAGGCATTTTAACTAACAAGTATTATATGCCTAGTGCATTGGAGATGCTTAATTGGAATTAAATTGTCCACTTAAACCGGGTCGAATCGACGGCTTGTCTGACCGGTTCACCTACAAACCCGGCTTCAAACATCAACAATTTGCCCGCCACTACAAATAAATAAAACCCCCACCCAAAACCCTACTCCAAATTCACTCTCCCTCCACAACTCAACTCTCTCTCTCTCTCTCTCTCTCTTCAAATTTGGCTCCAATTGACACACTCTCCTCTCCTCCAAGTACCAACACATCCCTAGTTCGTTCCAGTCCTCCATTGTCAATTTCAAGCCCTAGAATTCGTTCTAGGGTTTTCACGCTACCAATCTGCAGAACATGTCTTGGGAAAACGAGATCGTATTGCGTGATGTCACTAGTGCTGGTCTCGTTATCAGCGACCGCATCGGCCGAGATGTCGCAGCTCACCTCGACCTCGAAGAAGCTCTGGAAGCTTCCAGATACGCCAGCCATCCCTACTCTACTCATCCCAGAGAGGTACTTCAACAATTCTTAGAACTCCTTGTTTGGTCGCCGAGAAAGCTGTGCAAAAGAAAAAGAAATAATTTTGAATTTTTTTTGGGTGGGTTTTTTGCTGCTGTGAATTGTAGGTCTGAGAGTATGTTTGCTGAATTAATGTGAATGATTTATCTATATCTGGGGATTTTTTAAATTACCCAATTTTGTATTACAAGTACTTAAACTAGTGCTACTAGGGTTTAAAAGATGATGAATCAGTTCAGATTGAAACTTGGGTAAAAGACAACTTTTTGTATTTTTTTTGGGTCTTATACAACTAAAACACACATCTGTACCAATGGCCAAAGAAGTCCAAACTCATCTTAGGAAGGTTCAGAAATTTATTCATTCACTTTTCTTGGAAAGTTTCAAAATTTTTGTTCAGTTATGTCCCTTCTTCAAGAAACGCTCATTTTTTTTGCTTGTTTACTCATGGTATTGGACTTTATATATATATATATATATATATTCCACTGGATTTTTGCATGCTGATTTACTATTGAAAGAGTTTGGTTGATCTGTGAGTCTGTTGATCTGTGACTCGTATTGATCAACATCTATTGGCATTAATATTATTCTTAAGCATAGTCAGCTTCTGATTAATTTATTTTGCTTGCTTTCTCACTTGGAAAAGGATTTCCTTCAATTTTATCATCTTATGTTGTATAATTTGGTTGCAGTGGCCTCCTTTGGTTGAAGTGGAGGATACCTGGGAGCTACCTTCTGTACTCATTGAAAGATATAATGCAGCTGGTGGGGAAGGAACTGCTTTATGTGGAATATTTCCAGAGATACGCAGAGCTTGGGCAACAGTAGATAACTCTTTCTTTTTATGGCGTTTTGATAAGTGGTGAGATTGGTATCTGAGAAAGGATTTCACATCTTCATTCTCAATGGTTTCCTTTTGGTAAAACAATAGTTCTCTGGTTAGACATTTGATAAGTTCTCAAGGGCACTTGGTGGTTCAATAATGAATATATTGATTATGGTGCTTATATCAATGTAGAGGCTTTTATTTATCCAAAAAAAAAAAAAAATTCAATGTAGAGGCTTCTATTTAGAGTAATGATAACATTGAATTAAATTTATGATATTAAATTAAATCATACCTTATTAGATGGAATCTCTTTGTAATTTTAATTATCTTTGGAAAGTAGGAGATTCTTTCAGCATTTTAGCTTTTGAAGGACTGTCAAGTACTTGATAGGCTTCTTGTGATCTGGTTAAATTATACAAGTTCAGCTAGAATGGAACTTGTGATAGAATGTTGTTGTATTGACTAAAAGAATATTGGTTAACCTTTTTGTTCGAAACATATAATAAAAACGTGATATGATACTACTGAATTTTATGGGAAAAAATTATTAGTTAAATGACAACGTAAAAAATGGGCCAAAAAATGCAAGTGCGTAACCCTTCACTCAAAGTGGGTTGCTCAGGTGTTTAGGATGATCTAAATAAGTATACTTTTACGAAAAGATGTGCAAAAAAGTAGAGAGTTAATGTGACTCAAAAAAGATAAAAAGATAAAAAAGTGCACTTTTGTAGGGGATGCCAAATAGTGTGGAGGGGCCTTTTCCATTTGATATAGTTTTTGTTTTTACACTTTTCTCTTGTTTATTTTCCTTCTTTTAATTGAAATTTTTTTTCTACTTTTAGGTCTCATGCATACCTTTTCATTGCATTTCAATATGATTTCATGGCTTATATAGAACTTTGTTATATCATATGATTCGCGATTTGAATTGTACAAGTAAATTCGATTTAGTGGGTAATCGACATGAATAGGTTGCATGAATCACAAATAACTAGAATTGGTGGTGACTTAGTGAATCCTTGAACTGAATCGATGAATCGTGAATCATGAATCGATTGACTTTTGATTTGCTGAAATTGATTTTTGGGTTACTTTTTTGATTTTTTATTTTTCGGAAAATGGTTCACATAAACCCTTTAAAGGTCTTTTAGGTTACTAAATGGCATCCTTTGACTTTCTCCCTCCTTATTTATTTTCCAAGACTCAAACAACACGCTAGAAAAAATGAACCTTCTCTACAATATTCTAGGCTTACATATTCAACTTTATACAAATGTTTGCACTTATAAAAGGAATATTTTCAAGGCATCAAGTGAGATTTAGTTTGGAGAATTGGATTTCTTTAACAACACCACACCCCACCCCATCCCCCCGAGGTTAGTGTTTCTATTACTTTAGTTGTAAAAAGTTTAAAAACATTGTTGATGCATTATTCTTCTTGTTTGGATATTGAGAATTTGTCTCTGTTTACTTTCTTTATTAAGAATGGTTGATAACAAATATCTAAAAGGGAAAATGTAAAGTTCTTACAAGGGAACTTGTGTTAATTTCTAACCTATTAGGCCACATGATCATCATTTAAAATAACATTTTCATTGATTTAAGTCAAAATATTTAATATCTATAAGATATATTTAAAATCCAAGTGTATAGATATATTTTTCTATGTAATTTAGAAAAAGTGATCGAATAAAGATTTGCGATTTGATTTGATTCGATTCGATTTGCAATTCAGTATAAGGTCATTTTGATTAACGATTTGACAACTACGTATAGAAAGAGATAAGAAAAAAAGTTAATACTTGAAGATATTATATGGTAAATATTTCATGCTAACTTTGCGGAATTGTTATGTAGAGTCAAGTCATTACCACTATGTGCTCAGGTGGGAATTCACACAAATTTTTATATTTCGTCAACTGCTTCTGTTTCCCATCCCTTGAATAGCATAAGCAGACATCATGCAACCCTGACCTCAATGAAGTTTTCTATAATTAGCAAATGTAGTTATTTTATTTATGTATTTTTTTGTAGCTTTAGTGCTTTTTATAGGTTTTGAAGAGTTTCCATTTCCTTTTACACAAATTGTAGATGGTGATGAAGAGGTTCATAAACATTGTTTTGGTTTGGTCTGAGCAATAACATTAAGAATTTGGTGACTCATAAACAAGGGACATAGAATGGATGTAGACTTGGTTTAGCTTTTCCAATTTTTATTTGAGCTTCATAAGCTGAAATGTCTATCACAATATTAATTATGTTTTAGTTTTGGTTATCATCACCCTCACAATCTTAGCATAACTAGGAGTAGAGTGAAGTTGTAACTTGTAAATAGTTCATTTGTAGAGATTAGATTTCAGTGCATATCAACTTGTGCCAATTGCCAAGTTTAGCCCCCCTATTACAACTTAAAAGAGCTTTGGTTTTGTATTGACTTGAGCAATTGTTTATATACATGGTCGGGTGAAAGATACAAAACAAAGTAGTAGCTGATTTTATTTGTTTTGGGCTAGTTAAGGTGAATTGAGGCTAATTATACACTTTCCTGGAATGGTGGAGGCATTAGGTTGTGCTTGTGGACCCTCATAAGTGCATATGAACATTTGCTTGCTCCTTAGTTTACTTTGATGAGAAAAAGCAAAATTATTTTGGATTTAACTTTTAGGCTGCGCTTCCTTTCGACTTATTTTCCACTTTTAGGGCTCACCACAAAGCAATAAACGTATAAATTGTAGTTTTCTTTCACAAAATATGTAGTCTTATGCAGGTTTATTGGGCTTTGGCTTATGGTTTTTTTGTTTTAAGCGAAATCCATAAAAGAAAAGTTGATTTTCATTGGGCATATTTTGTGCAGCATATGGTATTTACCTGATTGTATCAGTACTTATACTTGCATAATAAACCTACTCAAGAAAGTCCACTTGGCTTCTTTCCAATTGCATAGGGTTTTCACTCCGCTACATGTATCCTATTTTGCTATTCGAATCTATCTATGGTTGTCTTGTTTAATTGAGTCATAGGTAAATTATGCCCTTTTCTGTTGCCTTATTATTATTATTATTATTATTATTATTATTTTTTGTGTGTGTGTGGGTCATGCTAATAAGTGCATATGAACATTTGCTTGCTCCTTAGTTTACTTTGATGAGAAAAAGCAAAATTATTTTGGATTTAACTTTTAGGCTGCGCTTCCTTTCGACTTATTTTCCACTTTTAGGGCTCACCACAAAGCAATAAACGTATAAATTGTAGTTTTCTTTCACAAAATATGTAGTCTTATGCAGGTTTATTGGGCTTTGGCTTATGGTTTTTTTGTTTTAAGCGAAATCCATAAAAGGAAAGTTGATTTTCATTGGGCATATTTTGTGCAGCATATGGTATTTACCTGATTGTATCAGTACTTATACTTGCATAATAAATCCACTCAAGAAAGTCCACTTGGCTTCTTTCCAATTGCATAGCGTTTTCACTCTGCTACATGTATCCTATTTTGCTATTTGAATCTATCTATGGTTGTCTTGTTTAATTGAGTCATAGGTAAATTATGCCCTTTTCTGTTGCCTTTTTATTATTATTATTATTATTATTTTTTTTGTGTGTGTGGGTCATGCTAATGAATAGCCTTGTGGTTGTTAAGGTGGAGATAAGGCAAAATAGTTTGAATCTTAGCGCATGTTTTACATATTTTGAAATACTTTTCTATTCACTTTTTTGCATATACATCATTGCTTGGGCAACCATTAGCATTTTATTTTACTTTATTTATTTATTTTGAGTTTCTCTTAGTTGAAGCAAATCACTCGTTCATACAGTTTTTAGTTGCACATGACCATACCATCTCAATAACTCTCACCTTGCCCTTGTTAGGAAACATTAAAAATCTTTTTAATTGGAAATTTGCACTTGGACCTTTTATTTTAGAGGGAATGGGTTATACATCTTATCGTGGTTTCTTTCAACAACAAGGATCATTTGATCTTTATACCCTGAAACTTCCACCACTTAGGAAATGAAGATGCTAACCGTTAGCCGAACTAGGGTTTCCTACTATAATGTTTATTGAAAATGTGGGCACCTCTGAGTTTGGACTAAGTTCATTTTAGCCTGTCTTAGCAAGTTCATGCTTTCATTGGTTTCTATGTATTTAATAGGCTCAATCTTCTGATTTTGATTTGTGTTAGATTATATGGGTGTATTTTATTTGTTAGTTCCCCCCGCCCCTGGTACATAAAGATTACCTTTAGGTTAATTTTGTACCATTCTTTGTTACATACCAATTGAAATGAAAACCAAGATATATGCTTGTATATACATCCTCAAAACTCAGAAGTACCCAAGTGTGTGAAATGGATTATAATTCATACCTTGATTCTATAGCATCTAGTTGGATAGTTCTTCTGGTTGTTTTCCAAGTCTGAAGCCTGAAATGCTGGTGCCATGCGTCGTGCTGTCATTCATTCATATCACTGTAGTTTGCTTGGGTTTAAATTTTGCTTATAATTGCTACTGTTGGATTGATCAAAGTTAACATGAAGTCATAGTTTATAACCAATTTCAATCTAGTAAATATTATTTTCATAGGTGGTTGCTTGCCTTGAGAAAAACTATACTTGAATATAATGCATTTTCATGGCAATCTTTCCATTTGGGTAATTTTCAGTTTGCCTTTATAAAATTGGGTTTCAAGGTATTGGAATTGTCTGGGAGTTTAATCTAGCTTTGTTAGCTGTCTGGTTGTGTTGCTACCATTTTTGACACTAAGGAGGTTGGTGAAGGAAAAATTTGGAAGATAGGCTAGGTGTTAGATGTCATATTGGTTAGGAGTTCATATGGGGTTGGATTGTGGAAGGGCCCGAAGGGCATTAGGAAGTACTGGATCAGGTTTTTTATTTTGTGGTTTGTTGTAGGCAGTGGTGGCTTTAGGGTGTGCTCATAGCAGCATCATTATACATGATGGGGATGTTTCTTTTAATTGGCCTTCTGTGATCTCTTCTGCATTGCTTTTAAGAAGGATGCTTACATGGCAGAGTATGCTAGGTATTTTGACAAAGGAAGAGTGGATTTATGAGATACTGTCAAACTGGGAGTTGGTGTTGAGTTCTTTGAGTTATTACCCAACACTTATCGTTGATAGTAGAGAGAATGCTTAGTGCTGGAATGTGGATTGAAGTGGAATGTTTGGTGCTAGATCATGTTATAAGCTATTGTATGGGGAGGAATGGTAGGCTTCACTTGAGGGGATTTGGTGTGTCAATTTGCCGTTCGATGTGTCTCTCTAGTCTCTTCATATGGACAATTGCTTTGTAAGCAACCCTCACTATTGGTAATTTGGGTGATTGTGGAAAATGCTCCTAACCCTTAAGCATATAATGTGCAAGGAAATGGAAAAAAATAGATCTATGGAATTTGTCGTCACATTTGGAATTTTTGGTTATGACAAGTTTGGTGTTTTTAATCAAGCCTTGTTGGTAAGTGGTTGTGATAGTTTGCTTGTGAAATGGACAATGGAAGGAGGGCAGTGGACGGAAAATATGGGTGTGCTTATTGGGGTTGGGCTTTGGAGAAGGTTTCATGGGGGTGGCTTGTGGAAGGATATTAAGAAAGGATGGGAGCCTTTTTCCGGCCACAATCAGTTTGTGGTGGGAAGTGAAGAGCATGTGAAATTTCGGAATCATCATTGGTGTGTGGAGAAGTTGGAGATGGTCTTCCCTAATTTGCTTGTGTTACCCTAGATACGGAGGCTTTGATGAGTGTTTTTTTTAGGTTTGTTGATGGGCAAGTCTTTTGGGACATCGTTGATTAAAAAAAAAAAAAGAAGCTATTAGGACATTGCTTTTCGAAGGGAGCTAAATGATTGCAAGATGGAGCTGCTAGATTTTTTTTGCCCATATTGTAGACAGAGGTAATGCAGTTCGATGTAAAATGTCCAACTCTGGCCTTTTTAGTGTCAAGTCTTTTTATGAGGTTCTTTTGGGGCATGGGGGAGCCTCCCTTTCCTTGGAGAATAGTCACACAAGGGCTCTATCTAAGGTGGCCTTTTTTTGTATGCTGTGTGGTAAGGTTGTCACCATCAACAACTTAATTTGAAGAAGGTAAGTGTATGTCAACTGGTATTGCATGTGTAAGCATGATGAGGAGACGGTGATTCAATTACTTATCCATTGTGAGGTAGTGCGTTAATTGTGGCCATTGGTTCTCTTTATGTTTGATGTTGTCTGGGTTTTCCCGAGGAAGGTGATTGAGCTACTGTGTTCTTGGAGAGTTCATGTGGGAAGGAGGAAGGCCTGATGTTTGGTTCCATTAGTGCTTGTGTGGTTGATTTAAGGAGAGAGGAATAGAAGAACACTTGTTGGTGCGGATTTGTTAGATTTGAAGATCAAGAACCATCCCCTGCTTATTTTGTATAGTTGGTGTGCTGGGATGGTTGATCCATCCTTGAATAATTTTTTGGATTTTGTAGCACCTTTGGAATAAGGCTTTTTTGGTATAATGGATATAGATCATTTGTGTATGGATTGTGCACCCTGTTGGTGCTTTTTTGATATAATTACACTTAAAAAAATAAAAAATAAAAGTTAGGCAAGCTTGGATGGTTGCTCCCTTATTTGTTATGACGAGTGTTAGAAGGAGAGGGATAGGGGACTTTTGAAGAGGTCAAGACCTAGTGCTTAAACTAAAGAAATATTGCTTAATGCAGTCCAATTTTGGGTTTGATGTAAGTAGCCCGATTCTTTGTGCTTACTTGCATAGATTTTATTGGAGTCTAGCTTTCTGGAGGAAACTTGACTTTTCTTGCTGCCATATACGTTGTGTATGAGTGGGTTGAGCCTCTGTTGTTCTATTTTCTTTTCTTTTTTTGGTATTATATGTAATATGTCAATGGCTTGCTTTGTCTCACATTCTAATTATGGCTTCTTTACTAAGGAAGAAACTCAATGACTTTCCAAGTTTAATCATTCTTCATGTGAAAAAGATCAACAATTGTATTTATCAAAAAAGAAAAATAAAAAAAGATCAACAATTAATGTCTTGAAATGTACAGTTTTAGACCTTTCATTTCTTCTTCTGATATCTATGCCAGTGATCTGAAACAAAATTCAATTCAACAAAAGGGGTCAAAGCATGTTGGCTCCTGATATCTAGTTATTGTTTTAATGTTTATGAAGAAAATAGTTGACGCTCTATATTGTGAAAAAGTTAAATATTTAACTGAATATGCAAATCATATAGGTGAATGGTCCTCTTTTTATTTTGTAGCTTTTGAGTTACTCAGTGATCTCATGTCATGTCATGTCGTATACTTGATTGAGTACCATATACAATAATCTAGTTCTATCTTAGCTTCTGTTGAAGATTTCTGCATGTTTTCATATCCACATGATTTGCATTTCTTGTTTTAAATGTTTAACTTTTTGTTTAGGGATGGTCAATGTCCTGAATATAGTGGGGAGGAGCAAGCTATTTGTGCTGTTGGCCTGGCCAAAGCTAAACCTGGTATTTTTGTTGAAGCTATCCAGTATCTTTTGGTCTTAGCATCTCCTGTCGAGGTAGGGACTTTGTTCTAGCTCTTTGTTATTACTGTTTTTTTCCCAAATGCAATGTTTTGACTGCTTTCTAATGTATTCTTCAAGATTCCGGTTAAATGTATAGTTATTGACTAATTTTTTGTGTTATTATGAAGTTATCCATATGATAGTACTGTTAATAGTTGTTCGGATTTTTTTCGTTTTACGTTTCTTTGTATGAATCTCATTCAGTTTGGTTTTGTTTGATAAATCATTAGTTTTAAGAATATATATTGGATGATGTTATTCAAGAACAAATCTTCTGGGGATGTATAATTTGCATTTAATCATTTCTAGTATTTATTCTTTAATTTCAAAATTTCCCTTAATTTATTATTGAATTTTAATTTTTATTAAAGTTTTAGTGCACAATTTTTAGTCAATCACACTTACGAAACAATTTCAGAAGTTCAATCTTTAAAAATTCAAGTTGACGACTCTTTTTTGTTCCAAGTTCTCAAAAAGCACCTTGTGATGGACAAAATTTCAGTGAGGAACTCTAGTTCATTTATTTCTTGGAAGAAAGTGGGAATAGGCAAACATAATGGGGATTGGACAAATGCTTGTTAAATCACCGTTTTTTTTTTCCTCTCTTGCAATTGGAATTCCAAGGAATCACGTTGTTAAAATGTCTACATTGCCTTCATTTATTTCAGACATGTCTGAATGTGACCTATTATTATTAGATGACATGCTTCGGACACTTGGAGGACACACGTGTCCGTTGTTTAGAGACATATAAAACTAATTATGAGTTTGAATAAAATAACTTAGGATACAATGACAAAAGAAAGATGGTATAGATTTATAGGAATTAGTATTACATTGTATTTGTTATTATTTTTGAATGATATATTCATATACATGACAAAATAATATATATAACTATATATTTTGTGTGTGTTTTCCATGTGTCGCATCTTGCATTTTAAAAGAAAATTTGTCGTGTTGAACTAATTATGAATTTGAATAAAATAACTTAGGATACAATGACGAAAGAAAGATGATATAGATTTATAGGAATTAGTATTACGTTGTATTTGTTGTTATTTTTGAATGATATATTCATATACATGACAAAATAATATATATGACTATATATTTTGTGTGTTCTCCATGTGTTGCATCTTGTATTTTAAAAAGAAGAAGAAAATTGTCGTGTTGATGTGTCTGTCGTGTTGCAAGTTCGTGTTCGTGTTTGTGCTTTTCTTTTCTTTTTTTTTTAATCGAATTAACAAATTTTTATTCGTAGCATGCCAGAAAGGATGGACCATCGGGCTTTCAATTCTCGTGTCTTGACGACTGGCCTTGGCTTGGATCCGTGTTATGTTGTTTTGTATTACCTTTGAATAAACTATTCATATATTTCACATATAATAAATTTAGAAGTGTAAATTTTTAAAGTGTCCCAGAGGTATCATCTCTTGTATTTTTTGAAAATTGACATGTCGCATGTCGTGTTGTGTGTCCATGCTTGTGCTACTTAGGAGATAAGAATTTCGATATTTTGATGAACCTCTTCAAATTCGTTGAATAGCACATGCACATGTTCCTTCTTTTAAAATGTATTTGTATGTGCATGTGCAATTATTCTTCATTCTTTAATTGCATCGGTTTCCTGTTAGCTATCCTTTTTCCCCTTGGTAAGATCTTTAATATATTTCTTTCCTTTGAGAATTATCTTCTTATTTTGTGAATTTTTCTTCTTTTTGTTGATTAGTTCAGCAATTCACATCTATGTTCTATTGTGGCCAGTTGATTCTTGTAGGAGTATGCTGCACTGGAAGGGGCGATGGAATGGACCCGTATGCGGAGGTTTCGCTACAGCCTTTGCCAGATTATACAATACCATCTGATGGTGTCACTATGACATGTATCACTTGTACTGATACAGGTCATATTTTCCTGGCTGGCCGTGATGGCCACATTTATGAATTGCATTATACAACCGGTTCAGGTTGGCACAAGCGTTGTCGCAAAGTTTGCCTGACTGCGGGTTTGGGAAGTGTCATTTCAAGGTATCTTCTTCTTTTTAATGCCTTCAAAAGTTTATGGTCATAAGTTTGTACACGGACATAAGATTTATTATAGGATGGCCCTTAAACTCCACTAAACTTTTTAACATGATAACATACATTCCCCTTCTGATGAGTTTCACTGATGTTCTTTATTGGTATTTGGTCCATAACCTGACCCAGGTAAATTGGTGAACTCAATTCAATTAGTCCTTTCCTTTGCATATTGAAATTAACCCCAAGTTGAAGTATGTACTGTCTAAAGTGTTGAACTAATTTTTGGTTCAAAATTCCATAGTCTGAACCCTTTCGTGCTTCTTATTCTTATTTGTTCATGTTTGCTCTCTTTCTGATTCTGATCAGGTGGGTTGTACCAAATGTATTCAAGTTTGGAGCTGTTGACCCCATTGTTGAAATGGTTGTTGATAGTGAGAGACAGATTTTGTATGCACGCACTGAAGATATGAAAATTCAAGTTTTTCTTCTAGGGCCATATGGAGATGGTCCCCTCAAGAAGGTTGCAGAAGAGAAAAATTTGATCAATCAGAGGGATGCCCATTATGGAGGTAGACAGTCAACTGGGTCAAGAGCCCTGCCTCGATCAGCAAAAGCATCTATAGTTTGCATTTCGCCCTTGTCAACACTGGAATCCAAGTGGCTACATCTTGTTGCTGTTTTATCAGATGGCAGAAGGTTGTACCTATCTACTGCTGCATCTAGTGGAAGCAATGGTGCTGTTGGAGGTTTGGGTGGATTCAATACTAATGGACAGAAGCCAAGCTGCCTAAAAGTGGTAACAACTAGGCCTTCTCCTCCTCTGGGAGTTGGTGGTGCTTTCGGTGCTATGTCTCTTGCTAGTCGATCTCAGAATGAAGATCTATCACTAAAGATAGAATCAGCATATTATTCTGTTGGAACTCTTGTTCTTTCTGATTCATCTCCATCAACCACGTCTTCGCTTCTGATCGTAAACAGAGATTCAAGCACGCAATCATCTTCATCTGGTAACATAGGAACAGGTGCAAGGAGTTCTCGGGCACTACGAGAATCTGTATCTTCCCTACCTATTGAAGGCCGAATGCTGTTTGTGGCTGATGTTTTACCCCTGCCAGATACAGCAGCCACTGTACAGTCACTATATTCACAATTGGAATTCTGTGGATTTGATAACTCAGGGGAATCTTGTGAAAAGGCATGTGCAAAACTTTGGGCTAGAGGTGATCTTTCAACACAACACATATTACCAAGGAGAAGAATTGTCATATTCAGTACAATGGGCATGATGGAAGTTGTTTTCAACAGGCCAGTTGATATCCTGAGGAGGTTATTAGAGTCCAACTCACCAAGATCAATGTTAGAGGATTTTTTCAATCGCTTTGGAGCTGGAGAGGCAGTGGCAATGTGTTTAATGCTGGCTGCAAGAATAGTCCAAACTGAAAATCCCATAAGCAATGTTGTTGCCGAGAAGGCAGCTGAAGCTTTTGAGGACCCTAGACTTGTTGGAGTACCCCAACTTGAAGGTAGTGGTGCATTGTCAAATACCAGAACTGCAGCTGGGGGATTTAGTATGGGGCAAGTTGTCCAAGAGGCTGAGCCTGTTTTTTCAGGCGCACATGAAGGGCTCTGCTTGTGCTCATCAAGGTTGCTTTTGCCTTTGTGGGAGCTTCCTGTTATGGTGACCAAGGGTGGCTTAGGTTCTTCTGATGGAAACGGGATAATTGTATGCAGACTCTCTGCTGGTGCAATGCAAGTCCTTGAAGACAAAATTCGTTCTTTGGAGAAGTTTCTAAGATCTAGAAGGAATCAGAGAAGGGGACTGTATGGTTATGTTGCTGGTCTTGGAGACTTGACTGGTTCGATTCTGTATGGAACTGGTTCAGATCTGGGTGCTGGTGATAGAAGTATGGTGCGGAACTTATTTGGTTCTTATTCTCGGAATGAGTCTGCTGAAGGTGGTGCATCTAATAAAAGGCAACGGCTTCCATATAGTCCTGCGGAACTAGCTGCCATGGAGGTATGGCCTTAGCATGTGTCATTTGCTCTGTTTTTTATTTATTTATTATTTAATTTTACAGATGTTTATTTTGATCTCTTCTCATTTGTTACAAGCCTCTTGGACTGTTTTCTGTAGGTGAGGGCAATGGAATGTATCAGGCAGTTGCTCCTTAGATGTGCTGAAGCTCTGTTTTTGCTACAACTCCTTTCACAGCATCATGTAACGCGTTTGGTTCAGAATCTTGATGCTAATCTACGACAGCAATTGGTTCAGTTGACATTCCATCAGCTAGTCTGTTCTGAGGAAGGCGATGGACTTGCAACAAGGCTTATATCTGCTTTGATGGAGGTACTTCTGTGCTACTGTTACAGATCTCTAATTTAATTACCAACAAACTGTTATTATTTGGTCAACATTTTCCCCCCCTCTCCATTGCTCTATAGGAAAAAAAAAAATGGTTAGTAGCTTGTGTTGGGTCTATCTGTCACTGTTGCTTTTGAATTCTTCCCTTACAATAGATGTCATCCATGCCTCCAGTACTACACAGGTCCTGATGGCAGGGGAACTGTTGATGATATTAGTGGTAGACTACGAGATGGGTGTCCAAGCTTCTTCAAGGAATCAGATTACAAATTTTACTTAGCTGTGGAATGTCTCGAGAGAGCTGCTGTGACTTCTAATACTGGGGAGAGAGAAAATCTTGCTAGAGAAGCCTTCAACTACTTAAGTAAAGTTCCAGAGTCAGCAGATCTGCGGACTGTTTGCAAACGTTTTGCGGATCTGAGGTCTGTCCTTTTAAGCTGAATACTAAAACCTGCAGTTTTTCAACTACTTGTATTCTTTTAAGTGGATTGTTATATATCAGACATAAAATATTTTATGGAAATTGCAGATTTTATGAAGCTGTGGTTCACTTACCTCTGCAAAAGGTCCAGGCCCTTGACCCTGCCGGTGATGCTTTTAATGAGCAGGTAGATGCAGGAATTCGAGAATACACACTTGCCCAGCGTGAACAATGTTACGAGATTGTCACTAGTGCTTTGCGTGTTCTGAAAGGTGAAACTTCACAAAGGGAATTTGGTTCTCCTATCAGACCCATTACACAATCTGCACTTGATCCAGCTTCTCGGAAAAAATATATTTGTCAAATTGTTCAACTTGGTGTCCAATCATCCGATAGACTATTTCACGAGTATTTGTATCGGGCATTAATTGATTTGGGCCTCGAAAATGAATTGTTGGAGTATGGAGGCTCTGATCTGGTGCCTTTTCTGCAGAGTGCTGGGCGTGGACATGTACAAGAGGTGTTGTTTGTATCTTGTATATATATAGTGATTTATTTTATTAATTTTTATTGGTATTCAGAGCATTCGCATCTCTTCTAAATTTATTTATTTATTTATGTCTCTTTCTTTGCTAGATTCGGGCTGTTTCTGCAGTGACATCAGCTTCTTCTCCGCCTGGTTATTTAGGAGTACATATTCCATCGAATCAAGCAAAATATTTTGAGCTTTTGGCACAATATTATGTCTTGAAGCGACAGCATGCTCTTGCTGCTCATGTACTATTAAGACTGGCAGAAAGGCGGACTGCTGATGGGGGGGATGTCCCTACACTGGAACAGAGGTCCTCACTAGTACTTATTGAAGAATTTTTCATGATCTTTTTTACCCCCTATAATAATCATTCGTTCAGTATGTCCATGTTGAATGACATTTCAGGCATGACAATCCTAGAACATGTTCAACTTAGACCTGAGCCAATATAAAGGATTAGTTAATCAAATAATAGATAGTAAATGGATTGGTTTGAAAATAAATGAATTGGTAGTCGTATTATATTATTCTCTTCAGACTTAAACCTAACTAAAGTAACACGGGTTTGGACAATGTTGATACCTTTTGGCAACGTAAATTGACCTAACGTTAAGATAAATAAGGCTTTGACTTGGATTTTTCTTCCATTTGTGTCATAGACCAGCAGGGTGATTTTCATTCATTGTCTACTCCTTCCAGTTCCAATATTTTCCGTGCCACAACAATTTGAAATAGAGAATCTATATCAAAGAAAGGTTAAACTGTTGGAATAATGGTAGTATCTATTTCTATTTGATACATCACAGTTAGTAATATTGGTACATTAGGTGAAGGTATGGAAAGAGAGGGATTTGAACCCTACATAGCAGTTTCAATGCTCCTACTTGAACCACTCAGCTATCTCTCCTCCGTAATGATTATGACCCAAAAACCAAGTGAATAGTGGTTCATTCATTCTCGATTATTGGATAGGTATGCCCAATCAATTCGAACTATAAAGAAAGATATTAAACCCTTTTTTCTTTACTACCTAGAAGTAAATGATCTAGTCAACATAAGTGAATCAAGCAAATCGAGGTTTACATTTGGGTTGAACACTCGGTTGTTAATTCATCGTACTTTCCTAGTTATATTAATTTTTTTAGCTCATTGTATTCAGTTTAAAAAGAGGGTTTGTGGTGCAAAAGACACATAATCTAAGTGGTACATTTTTGAAAAAGATTCATGCAAACTGATCCCGAGTACTTGGGATTCTGATATAATTGGATTGAGTTTAGATGCATACACGACTTGAATAAAATATGGCATAATGTGTATCAAAGAAGGCTAAAAGGGGATTATGGGGTCTTTCTACTTTCTTTAGATACTATTGGCATCTCTAGAAGCTTGGATTTGCATCTGGTTGTATGAGGAAGCAAATTCATCTACTGTTTCCTTTTTCATGGTGGGGTTAAATGTCTCCTAGGAGTTACTTAGGATGATGTTCCTCCTGTGTTCCTATTTTCCTCTTTTCATTCCATCAGAGGGAATAATAATGATTTTCTCTTCTATCATTTATTTTTTCTCCACGTGAAGTCTATTTCACTCTCATAAAAGAACATCAGATGCATGTTTTGTGGTTTGGCTTAGTCAGTTTATCTGAGTTGTCAGCTTAATCAAGGTGAACCCTTAGTAGTTTCTTGTTTTCAGATTTTAGAAAAAAGTTAATGCCTTCATAAACTTGTGCTGAAACAAATTTTTTTTTAACGAGTGAAGTATGGTTTGACCCAAACTTACGTTGGTTGTCAATCATAAATCATTTCTCTTTGAAATGACGTGAATTTTTCCTGTACTCTGGTCACTTTCTGATAATTTTATTCCTTTCCCATTTGGCAATGTCAGGCGTCAGTACCTAAGTAATGCAGTTCTGCAGGCAAAGAATGCAAGCAATAGTGATGGTCTAGTAGGTTCTACTCATTGTGCTTTTGATGATGGCCTTCTGGATTTGCTTGAAGGGAAGCTTGCTGTTCTTCGATTTCAAATAAAGATCAAAGAGGAATTGGAGACCATAGCCTCTAAGTTTGAGGCACCCCCTAGAACATCTGAATCTGCTCCAAGTGACTCGTCTCCTGATAGCAGCCGTGTTGATGCCAATTTTGTGAACTCTATACGTGAAAAGCTCAAAGAGTTATCATTGGATTTAAAGAGCATCACTCAACTATATAATGAATATGCAGTTCCGTTTGAGCTTTGGGAGGTATATTCTTCACCCCTATGCTTTATGTGGTCCATTTGGAGCAAAAATTAAAGGAGTTTTTTTTGTGATCCTGAGGACCCGCTGCATATACTTAATAGCTGTTTTGTTGCCATCTTGTTTAGTTGGATATCCTTAGCTTTGTAAAATGTTTTCTCACTTTGCTAGGCCTTTGTTTTTTTCTCTTTAAACATGGTTTCCTTTGTAATTAGGTTGCTTCCCTATTGTCTCACTAAAAGCTCATGATTATATTAATTTATACAGGAGAGACAAAGTAGCCTTTTAGGCCACGTTTGATTGCTGGATTAATTTAAGGGGAGATTGGATACCATGAGATTGCAGTTGGGGTTAGTGGGGGTAATATTGGGATAATGGATGGGATTATATATAGTTTTTTATTTTTATTTTTTTAAGATCCCTACTAATATTACTTTAGATTTTAGAAGAATAAGGACAAACAATTTTCTAGTAGTAGTTTAGGTCCTCCAACAAACACAGTTAACCATTTTGGACAAAAATAGCCTCCAACAGTTAGGTACCTTTTACATTGTTTAAGTTATTTCAAAACTTTAAAATTTAATAACTTTCGATTTACATCTTTATTTTTTTGTAAAATTTATTTTAGAGTCCTATTGACAATATCTTTCAAACAAGTAGCATGAGTAACATGAAATTTTGAAGAAAAAAAAATTCATAAAATTTTACTGTGTTTGTATGTTACAGTGAAATTTCTCTGACTTTGTACAAAAATTGATTATTAATCTAAAATTGATTATTAATTGCCAAAATTAGGTCCTTAATTCTATATTTATTACTAAAAAGTCCAAATTGAAGGTTCCAAAATTACAAATTTTAAAATTTTCTATATTAAATCAGTAAAATTTCATTGTATATATAGTGAAATTTCTCAGACTCTGCATGGTGAAACTTCATTGTGCAAAATCAGTGAAAAATATTTTTTTGAACTCTAAAAGATAAAAAATTGTGGGTCAATTGCAAAAGTTAGGTCGTTAATTACTAGAAATTTCACTGGTTGAAGCCAATGCAATTGCACAAGTCAAGTGAAATTCCACTAGCATCAATCAGAAATTGACAGACTTAGTGAAATTTGACTGGCATCAATTAGAAATTGATAGAGACTGAGTTAGTAAAATTTCACTAATTGAAGCCAGTGCAATTACACAACTCAGTGAAATTCACTAACTTAATCCAATGCAAGTCAGAGATTGAGTCAGTGAAATTTCATTGATTGAATCCAGTGCAATTGTGCAAGTCAGTGAAATTTCACTGACTAATTCTAGCAAAAATCTAAAATCAATGAACTTGAAAAAATAAAAAACACAAATCAAATCTTGATATCAATCAATAACATATAAACCAACCAAATTGACGATAGATGGATGGTGTTGGAGAGAGAGAGAAAGAGCAAACGATGAGATCAATTAGATTTGAATCGGAGATGTGTGAACGGTAGTGAATGGCGGTTGACAGTAAAGAGTTGTAGTGAACAATGGTGGAGTAACACCGATGGATACGGCGATGGTAGTAGAAGTGGTGGCGGTGATGGTTGATACAGTTATGGTGGTGGCACCGTGGATGCCATAGATTTGAAATCGTTGGTCGAAGAAAGAGAGAGAGACATTGTAAATCAAAGAGACCGAAAAGAAATCTGAAAAAGAGGGGGAGAGAGATGGTGGGATGTAGGATGGATAAGGGGGAAGGATTATTAGTATAACAGTTGGCTGGAAGGAGGGAGATTATTTTATGGCATGATATAAGTAAATTCCATGGGAGAGGTGGTATTATTTATACCCCATTTAATCCCCCATAAGGGGGACTAGTAATACCAGTGTTATCAATATCGTACGATACGCAATATTTATTGTACAATACGTCTCGTATCAGTGAGAAAAAGATGCATATCACATACTGTATTGCAGATAAACTTGTATTGGTCAATACAAAAATAGTATCATTTGATTCGATTTGTATCGCGATTCTTCACATATTGTTCGATACAAGAATCGAAATAAATTTAGCCTTCTTCCATGCTAATCGCGATTGTTTTTCCGGAAAAAAAAAGAGTGACCCATCTCCAAATCTGAGTTCCTAGAGTTGATCTGGTGTTGATTTGGCTGTTGCAGAAGTTCGATCACTTCTCTGCTCTTCTCTGTTCGTGCGGTGTGTTCTTGTCAATCGAAGACAGAGATACAGAACAAAGTGAGGGTAAAAGAATTTTTTATCTGCTGTGGTCAATATATTGGCTGTTTGGAAACAAAGCTATAATAAATAGCTTCTTGGCCTCACTTGGTCTGTTAACCAAACAAGTATGTAAGTTTTTGGGTACCGCTGGAAAACAGCTATTATTGGTCCATTTATTTATTATTTTTTGTTTACTTTTTTATTAAAAAAGAATCCCAGAAGTCTCAAAAGCTTTGCGCTGTCAACATATTTATTATTTTGATTTCTTATTTAAGACAGTTTTTTTTCTTTTTTGCTATGTTTATTAGCTATATATATGGTTGGAATGGAGACTAGAAATTTTGTATCTTCATACTTCTTTTTGGTGATATATATTTATAGTTTGTGCTATAATAATATTTTTTCAACTTATATTTTTATATGTTAACATATTTTATGATACGCGATACATTAAATTAGAACAACGATACACGATACGTATCATGAATTGACGACACTGAATAATACCACTCACACAATCCCCGGGGAAAAAAAGGGGACCAAATCTCCCCTTCCAAACCAATCCCCTAAAAAAATGAGGCCTTATAGAAGAATTAAAGGCACCTACCATAAGTTAGTTTCAAAGAATATTATCTGATTATCTCCTAGTTGCTGGACATTACAATATTGATGGAAAATCTGTTCCTTTTCCATTTCTTTCTATTTGATTATAATACTTCTTTTTAGTTGTTTTTTTTTCTTAGTTTTTTATTTTATGCTGGACATTACAATACTTTTTTGTTCTGTGTCTTTCAATGGTTTTAATTCCTTTCCCCATATATTATAGTCTAGAACTTCATGCAAAGTTTCACTAATGCACATGAAGAGATGTATTTAGTCTCTAGAATTTTCCCAGTTCTCTGATCCCAAATATGGGTATACGAACTTGAATTGTATTCTCTTTGTTAAAACCTACCATCACCTACTCCACCTACTCCACCTACCACCACATACTACCACCTACTACACACCTACCACTACCACCTACTCCACTACATCTCCTATATAAGGAGCCCCTCACCATTTGTAATTTATAACATACATCAATCAATAATACATCATTTTTTACATGGTATCAGAGCAAGGTTAAGCACTTAGTATTTTTCGCTTCACCGGCGGGCGGCACCCTCGCCTTGGCCGCCCGCCTGATTATATTAATTTATACAGGAGAGACAAAGTAGCCTTTTAGGCCACGTTTGATTGCTGGATTAATTTAAGGGGAGATTGGATACCATGAGATTGCAGTTGGGGTTAGTGGGGGTAATATTGGGATAATGGATGGGATTATATATAGTTTTTTATTTTTATTTTTTTAAGATCCCTACTAATATTACTTTAGATTTTAGAAGAATAAGGACAAACAATTTTCTAGTAGTAGTTTAGGTCCTCCAACAAACACAGTTAACCATTTTGGACAAAAATAGCCTCCAACAATTAGGTACCTTTTACATTGTTTAAGTTATTTCAAAACTTTAAAATTTAATAACTTTCGATTTACATCTTTATATTTTTGTAAAATTTATATTTTAGAGTCCTATTGACAATATCTTTCAAACAAGTAGCATGAGTAACATGAAATTTTGAAGAAAAAAAAATTCATAAAATTTTACTGTGTTTGTATGTTACAGTGAAATTTCTCTGACTTTGTACAAAAATTGATTATTAATCTAAAATTGATTATTAATTGCCAAAATTAGGTCCTTAATTCTATATTTATTACTAAAAAGTCCAAATTGAAGGTTCCAAAATTACAAATTTTAAAATTTTCTATATTAAATCAATAAAATTTCATTGTATATATAGTGAAATTTCACTAACTCTGCATGGTGAAATTTCATTGTGCAAAATCAGTGAAAATATTTTTTTGAACTCTAAAAGATTATAAAAAAAAAAAATTAAGGGTCAATTGCAAAAGCTAGGTCATTAATTCTAAAAAATTTCACTAGTTGTAGTCAGAATTGCATAAAGTCAAATGAAATTTCACTAGCATTAATAAGAAATTGACAGAGAATTAGTCAGTAAAATTTCACTAATTGAAGCCAGTGCAATTACACAACTCAGTGAAATTCACTAACTTAATCCAATGCAAGTCAGAGATTGAGTCAGTGAAATTTCATTGATTGAATCCAGTGCAATTGTGCAAGTCAGTGAAATTTCACTGACTAATTCTAGCAAAAATCTAAAATCAATGAACTTGAAAAAATAAAAAACACAAATCAAATCTTGATATCAATCAATAACATATAAACCAACCAAATTGACGATAGATGGATGGTGTTGGAGAGAGAGAGAAAGAGCAAACGATGAGATCAATTAGATTTGAATCGGAGATGTGTGAACGGTAGTGAATGGCGGTTGACAGTAAAGAGTTGTAGTGAACAATGGTGGAGTAACACCGATGGATACGGCGATGGTAGTAGAAGTGGTGGCGGTGATGGTTGATACAGTTATGGTGGTGGCACCGTGGATGCCATAGATTTGAAATCGTTGGTCGAAGAAAGAGAGAGAGACATTGTAAATCAAAGAGACCGAAAAGAAATCTGAAAAAGAGGGGGAGAGAGATGGTGGGATGTAGGATGGATAAGGGGGAAGGATTATTAGTATAACAGTTGGCTGGAAGGAGGGAGATTATTTTATGGCATGATATAAGTAAATTCCATGGGAGAGGTGGTATTATTTATACCCCATTTAATCCCCCATAAGGGGGACTAGTAATACCAGTGTTATCAATATCGTACGATACGCAATATTTATTGTACAATACGTCTCGTATCAGTGAGAAAAAGATGCATATCACATACTGTATTGCAGATAAACTTGTATTGGTCAATACAAAAATAGTATCATTTGATTCGATTTGTATCGCGATTCTTCACATATTGTTCGATACAAGAATCGAAATAAATTTAGCCTTCTTCCATGCTAATCGCGATTGTTTTTCCGGAAAAAAAAAGAGTGACCCATCTCCAAATCTGAGTTCCTAGAGTTGATCTGGTGTTGATTTGGCTGTTGCAGAAGTTCGATCACTTCTCTGCTCTTCTCTGTTCGTGCGGTGTGCTCTTGTCAATCGAAGACAAAGAGATACAGAACAAAGTGAGGGTAAAAGAATTTTTTATCTGCTGTGGTCAATATATTGGCTGTTTGGAAACAAAGCTATAATAAATAGCTTCTTGGCCTCACTTGGTCTGTTAACCAAACAAGTATGTAAGTTTTTGGGTACCGCTGGAAAACAGCTATTATTGGTCCATTTATTTATTATTTTTTGTTTACTTTTTTATTAAAAAAGAATCCCAGAAGTCTCAAAAGCTTTGCGCTGTCAACATATTTATTATTTTGATTTCTTATTTAAGACAGTTTTTTTTTCTTTTTTGCTATGTTTATTAGCTATATATATGGTTGGAATGGAGACTAGAAATTTTGTATCTTCAAAACTTCTTTTTGGTGATATATATTTATAGTTTGTGCTATAATAATATTTTTTCAACTTATATTTTTATATGTTAACATATTTTACGATACGCGATACATTAAATTAGAACAACGATACACGATACGTATCATGATTCAACAATACTGAGTAATACTTCTCACGCAATCCCTGGGATAAAAAAGGGGACCAAATCTCCCCTTCCAAACCAATCCCCTAAAAGAATGAGGCCTTACAGAAGAATTAAAGGCACCTACCATAAGTTAGTTTCAAAGAATATTATCTGATTATCTCCTAGTTGCTGGACATTACAATATTGATGGAAAATCTGTTCCTTTTCCATTTCTTTCTATTTGATTATAATACTTCTTTTTAGTTGTTTTTTTTCTTAGTTTTTTATTTTATGCTGGACATTACAATACTTTTTTTTTCTGTGTCTTTTAATGGTTTTATTTCCTTTCCCCATATATTATAGTCTAGAACTTCATGCAAAGTTTCACTAATGCACATGAAGAGATGTATTTAGTCTCTAGAATTTTCCCAGTTCTCAGATCCCAAATATGGGTATACGAACTTGAATTGTATTCTCTTTCTCTCTCTCTCTCTCTGGTTGTTTGTGAGAATCCACTTTGACAAAGTTGGCGGGGCCCATGCAGGATGCAGCCAGTTACTGAATTTCTGATTGAGTAGTGTTTAGCATTTTTGCTTTATTTGTATCCGATGGGTTTTCCTGCTTTTGTTTTCTGCTTTCAGATATGTCTCGAAATGCTGTATTTTGCAAACTATTCTGGTGATGCTGATAGTAGTATTGTGAGAGAGACATGGGCAAGACTCATTGATCAAGCTCTTTCAAGGGGTGGCATTGCTGAAGCTTGTGCAGTACTAAAGAGGGTTGGTTCCCATGTTTATCCCGGAGATGGAGCTGTTTTACCTTTAGATACATTGTGCCTTCACCTTGAGAAGGCTGCACTGGTACTTTTCTTTTACTTTATTTCCATTTTTGTTCCTTCTCTTCTTTTATTTATTTATTTATTTTTTTGCTGTTTAATTCAATTTTTTCTTATTTTATTTTATTTTATTTTTGTTTTCCCTGCTCCAGTGGTTTCATATGATTAATGCTATTGCTGACTGACTTGTATACCTGATATGTTGTCATTTTTGTAGGAGCGATTGGTTTCAGGGGTTGAATCTGTTGGAGATGACGATGTCGCAAGGGCTCTTCTTGCTGCCTGCAAGGGTGCAATAGAACCTGTCTTGAATACTTACGACCAGCTGTTATCAACTGGGGCAATTTTGCCATCACCAAATTTGAGATTGCGTCTCCTCCGTTCAGTGCTGGTAATACTTCGTGAGTGGGCAATGTCTGTATTTGCGCAGAGAATGAATACAAGTACTACTGGAGCATCTCTCATTCTTGGTGGAACATTCTCACTGGAGCAAACAACAATATTTAACGAAGGGGTTCGTGACAAGATCACGAGTGCGGCGAACAGGTCAATTTCTTATTCGTTGTTAATTCCACTTGGGTTCATAAAGTATTCATTTGTAGCAAACAGTGTATTTGGTTTTAGTATTCTGAATTCAGTTTTTGGAAATTGAATTTTTTTATATAGTGAATATTTTTAAAATTTTAAGTAATTTTTTTACTTTTTTAGATGCACCGTACTTAGATGTATCTAAATAGTAAAATATTTGTGAAAAAATATATTAAAAAATTAATAAATACACAAAAATACGAAAAATGTATTGAAATTTTGTATTATTATTATTATTTTTTATATTTTTGGTATTTAGTAAATTTTTAAAGATTTTTTTTCACAAATATTATACTTTTTAAGTGTATTTATATTAGGTGTGTCTAAAAATTAAAAAAATTGCTTAAAATATATAAAAAAAATTCAGTGAAAACAAAAAAATACGGAAAACGAAAAAATAGAATTTTTTGAAAAGTGAATTTTGAAAACTGAAACCAAACAGAGTGAATATTTTTTTAGGGATTGAGGTTTATGAATTATATGCATTCGTGAAACCATTCGAGCCTGCCTCTTGCTGCATTCAAATCTTTTGACACAATGTCAATTTGCTGACCTCATCTGAAGGTTTAAAATTCTGTTTTCAACTCAGCATTTTTTTGTGAGTTGGGTGCTGTAGAAACATACCATTCTTACCAACCCCCTCCATATGTGTCCACAACCACTGCAATTTTCAGTTAGGAGAATTAGGTTTTTATAATTTCGTAGTGTCTTTATTCCAATGAAATAGTGCAAAACTGATTAAATCATTTCAAATTGTACTTGTACAACACATGTTTACCAACTCATCAATCTGGATCAAACTACTGATTCTTTCCATGGCATAGACTACTGTTAAATTAGGAATTGCTTAGAAATAGATACGGACACGCATACAGATTTTTAGAAAAGACGTTGCAAACATAGATAGGACTTTTCAAATCGCAAACAACAATAGATTTGACACATTGTATTTGGAAGGATAAGTTTTGAAGCCAGAGTTCAGACTTTTGAGCACAACCTTCTATGATAATTTAAAGGTGTACTTGCAACAGAGAGCACACAAAGAAGCAACAAAGTGATAATTTTACATGGGAACCGATTAGGACCTTATGTTATGAACTTTAGGGTTGATTGAAGTCCTACTTTTATGTTTTGTAAGTTATTATATTGCTGGATAATTTTCTTTCTTTTTCATTATTTTTATTTATTTGTAATGTTTTACCAGATTTTATTTGTTAACCATAGTTGTTGATTTTTGGTTTTGATAGACATGGACTATAGTATAGGTCCATGGTCGTTCTTTTGGGTCAACTTAACAGTATCACATTATTAAATTTAAAAAATATATAGGTCCAGTACAGTATTAGTTGTCCAATAGTCAAAATTTAATATTTGTGAATTGTGATTTTAATAAATTTAGGGAATCCTAACAGTATAAATTGCATGTAAACCAACCCAACCCAAACTAAGCTTTGTATTCCACTCAAGAAAGGTTGGCTACATGAATTTATGAGAATTTCAGATTGTATGTTTTGCAAGTGTAAATCTCTTCTTTCCTCTTATTATTTTTTCCTTTGTCCTTTTGCTTTTCTTCTCAAAGTAACTAATGCTTGTGGTGCTCCTCACATCAGGCAAACAAACTTGTTTTAACACCAAAACCCTAGCCTATCAAATCTCAACAAATCCTCACTGCTCTTACCTCTTTCATGTGACAATCAAAACTTTAACTCACTAGGGTGCAGTGCAAATGTGGTTCAAGCAAGAGTAATCAAAGATATGATAAAACTTCGAAATTTTTCATAAATTTCATGGCTGAGCCAATTGGACCCATATATTCTCAAGGTTATGTCCTATAAGGTTGTTATTTTATGATAATCCTGTATAAACGATTAAACACTAAGAATGACATGTGGAGTTTTGAAAGGATTACTCTGGTAGAAATGGTAATCCTGTGTTACGCAGATCTGCCACCTAATAACTAATGTGCTCTGCATACTTTCTTTTTCTTTCCCCACCTACATTCAGTTAATACCATATGCATAGGATGCCTTTTGGTATGTTGACATAATGAAGTGAAAGGTTGATAATTTTGGAGAATTTGCTTGTATGAATAAAAATGTCTTGAAATAATGGTGTGCCTTTTCATGATGATTTGCGAACCAAAATTTGGGGGCTGATGAATGGGAGAGAGAAGTTGATTCCAGTTTTCCATTGTTCAGAGAGGGGTTTATCACCTCTTTCATCTTTATACTTTTCGCAACTTGCTCAACACTAAAATTTGCATTTTATTATGGACTTTGGTATACATTAAGATAGAAAGTTTTTCATTTTGTAATTGTTTTATTATTGAATTACGTTATTTACTTTTCTAGTGTTTTGTTCATGCTTCAAATTCTCAAGTCTCTATTCTATTTCTTGGATGGGAATGTAACAGGTATATGACTGAAGTGCGGAGGTTAGCGCTTTCCCAGAACCAAACAGAGGCTGTCTACCGAGGTTTTCGAGAACTTGAAGAGTCGCTTTTAAGTCCTCTCTCTTTCGAGCGATTTTGATTGTTCTCATTACATGTCTGGTGTACGATGATTAATGTTTTTTTCTGCATATTTATTCGGCAATAAAAGCATTGTATTTTAGTGTATCAGAGCATCAAACGACATACAAGATCTAATTTTAGATGTGTAACAGTGATCTCAGGGAAGCATACAACAATGTTCAACCGACTTGGATTCCTTTTGTATCACATCAATGGCTGCCTGTTGGGGCTGGAACTCCGGCAATAAGAGAGTAGAATTACTGCTGGAAGGTATGGTTCATATGTTAAAATAGGCAATTATTGCTGGAGTTATAGTGCAAAGGCCCATTCTCAAAGTGAAATGGATTTGTTTCCATTGTTCCATTGTCCTGGAGTTATACTTCAAGGTAATATTTCCATCATTTGTAGAATTTTCTCTTCTTCTTAGGATTGTCTAGTCTACTCCTAAATGTGGGATAGGGAGTTTCTAAGCAGTGGTTGTGGATTGAACCTACAACGGATGACAAATTGTGCAGATACAAGTTAAGGGCGCTATCACCCAACTTCGCCTCTGGTGAGATTTGAACTATCACCGTTGGCTTATAATTCTTGAAGTATGTTGAGACTTGGACTAGGTTTGAATCATGGATTTGTGGACAAGATAAGAAAGAACAAGTGAAAGAAGTTAAATTTATTTCTTTCATTTGGTTGTCCTTGATAAGATTCAATATAGTGTATTGTTCAAATTCTTTGAAAGTGTGAACAAAATTGAACTCATTATTTGCAAATTTTTTGAAGTATGTGGACAAAAGGAAAAGATAAATAAAAAAAATTACTTTATTTTATTTTTATTTATTTTTGGTTGAAAGAAGTTAAAATTATTTCTTTGGTTACCTTTTTACTCAATGGTAGATGCTCTATCTATAATGTTAGGCCTTGTTTGGCTCGTGGTTTTTCAATCACCATTAGAAGTGCCTCAGTTGTGGTTGTTTTGACGTTAAATTATTTATCTTTTAATTCAATTTGTGAATAATTCTAGTTCAATTCTTCATATATTGGGTTAGATTTATAATTGATAGTTTGGGAATTGTTATCGGTTGTTGGTGTTTGTATTTGATATTAAATCATAAATACAAATCTTATAGAATTTCATATAAACTTGTGGATTTGAGAGCTATTATGTGATAGGTTTAATTAAGGAGTAATGCTAGAGACCCTAAATATTCTATCAAAAGTTTTATCAAATGTCTCACATGGGTGTGGGGACTTCGCACAATGTGGGTCCCATGTGGGTCCCACATCCATGTGAGACATTTGGTAAAACTTTTGGTAGGACTGTGCTGCATTCTGTTGTTCAAGGATGTGAGTCTGCCTCTCCGCTAGGCTAGCCATTGACTCTAAAAGGCGCTGCACACTAGGGTCTAAAAATGCTGGAGCTGTGTTAGCCCTTGGTGGTACGACTCTATCTGAATGTCCCACTTCTGGATTGGCACTTGACTCTTGAGTTTGCTCATTATGCGATTCATGTTCAATCTCTTCTTCCTGAACCCGAGGTGGAACTTCATTTCCAACACTAATTTGTTAATTAAGAGGCTAATAATAGAGAGACAAACAAAGGTGAACTAACATTCACGTAAATACGCTTTTGAAGTTTTGATTCAAATTTAGTGCCAATTTTTATGTTTTTCTCACCCGTGCTTTGCCTTGCCAAGCTGTCAATGGCGAAAAGCAAGTTTCAATGTTGTGTTCACAAGAAAAGTATGCTCTACTACTAGTCCTCACTCTTCTTTGAAATTGACCTCCTTGCTACCCCCACAACACGAGGAAGGAGACCCTCACAATTAGGGGTAAAATGGATTGAAATTTTAATTTTTGATCTGTATTTTGTAACATACGGTCTATTTTGATTTTAAATTTTTTTATATCGATGTAAATTGAATCAATCGAATATTATATTTAAACATTTTTTTTTGATAAAAATTTGGTAGGAGAACTTTTATATCTTTTCTTCATTTATTTTCAATGTGAAATTCTATAAATTTTATATAATCTTTTAAAGCTTCATACGAATCTCTCTTTCACATCAAATCAATAAAATTGATTTGAACTATAGCATACAGTTTGTATCAATTCCTCAATCATCAAAATTGAAATAATTAATTCAGTGCTAATCTTACCTTCAATACCAATCAAATTAAACCGTTTACACTCCTACCTATAATACTTCTATAGAGTAGAGAACTTGTATGTTATAATTTATTGTAAGTTAAAGATTAATAATTAAAAAGTAGATGTCAAAAGTATTCCTCCCAAGGTTTGGCCTTGACGAGACAAAAAAGGTGTCCCCAACCAAGGGTGGGTGTTGTGTCGTGCTATTTTAAGTTCATGTTAGCATTGCCTCGATATAAATCTAATTTATTCAATTTCACATATAAAATTATTTCTTACCTCATTTTCTCACTCTAAGACACAAATAAGTGGGTCTCATATACATTTATAAATGCGCATTATATTGCTGTGTTCAAGAGTGACAAAATGATGTAAGAAATGGATTTATATATAGCATTGCTCATTTTTTTTCTTCTTCTTATTATTATCGTATCTTATCATTTTTTGTTTATATCTAGTTAATGTGTTATGTCAAAACTTTCACTCTCAGTTAAAAATACCATGTGTCATTTTTAGCTTGAGTCATGTCAAAATTCTTCCCCTTAGGTTCAACTAATTTTAGATCTTATAGCATTGGTAGGCAATAAATAAGGATTTGATTCAGTTAATCTAAATTCACAATCTAAACTAAAGGCCTTTATAAATTATAAATGTTTTAATTAGTAATTTTACATCTAAAAATATCATAAAAGTAATATTTAACTAGTACTTTGTTGTAGTTGGTTCATTTTTTTATTTTGTATTATGTTTTATTTTATTTATTTATTTATTTACTATTATTATATTATTTTGGTAATTTAGATTTTGTTAAATCATAAAGCAACAAAATCATATATCTATATATATTTTAGTTCTTGTAATGATATCTTCATGTCTTGATCTATGTGAGTAAATCTAGTATATAATTTTAGTGATTATATAATCAAGTATAATTTGTGTGGGTATTAACACAAAAAATAAAAAAATAAAAATTTGTAAGTACATATCATTGTATCAAAACTTTTTCTTTTCTTTTCTTTTAATTGTATATAGAAGGCTCAATTTCAAAAGTTTACCTTAGGTTCCAAATCACTTGGGGCCGGTCCTGCCCTTCTCTTTAAAAATTGATAAGTTAGAAATACTCTTCCTTTAAATTCTAAAAGAAAAGAAAAAAAAAGTCTCCAAATATAAAAAATAAATAAACAAATAACTATAAGCAATTAAGAAAAATTGAAGTATTACCAGACACCGCCATTGCGTTCAGAATGTCAAAAAAATGTTAGGAACATCAAAAAAATCTTCGAGTAGAATCTCTTGGGCCATAATACTAAAACGGATTTAAAAATAGACATTAGACAGAATTTGTCTAATCATATGCCTAGTGCATTGGAATTGAAAAAAGTGAATCACACTAGGCATTTTAACTCACAAGTATTATATGCCTAGTGCATTGGAGATGCTCTAAGAAAAATTGAGGTATTACCAGACACCGCCATTGCGTTCAGAATGTCAAAAAAATGTTAGGAACATCAAAAAAATCTTCGAGTAGAATCTCTTGGGCCATAATACTAAAACGGATTTAAAAATAGACATTAGACAGAATTTGTTGTGTTCGCATCTCATTTTTAAAATTATTTTGCATCCAAGGCATGTAGGGTGTGTTTGATTGGACGGACTGTATAGGGGGATTAGAATTTATCGGACTTGAATCCTGGGACTGTGAATCCCCCGAACTATTTGATTGGATTGGATATATATCCTGTGTTTGTTTTCTCATGGGATTAAATGTCTGGAAATTACTATTTTTAGTGAATCCAATGTTTAGTTGGATGGACTGGATAGAATAAATGAGCAAAAAACTATTTTATCATTTTTCAATTGTTTACTAAGTAATAACAATATTAAGCATATCTTTAATATTTTAATTATTTTTAGCTAGATTAAATAAAAATTTATTTTATTTTACTTTTTACACAATTAAATAAATATATTTTTTAAGAAATAAATAAATAAAATATCAATAAAAATATATGTTATTTTTTTAATTAAAATTTTAAATAAATTTGTTTTTAAAAATAATAATAATTAAGCAATAAAATGGGGCATGCACCAATAAATCCCAAATTTGTATCTTGTAACCCATTTGGTCCTATGAATTTTTTTATGAACTGTTAGGTCCTATCCCAATGTTAGTGTTTGTTTATTAAGGATATACTGTAACATTCCTTTTTATTAAATATCTATAAAAAATTATTTTAAAAAAATAAATAAAACATCAATAAAAAGTTAAATAAAATTATTTTATATTTAAATTGAGACATTTAATTTTTATTGAATTTCACTAAATATAATATATAATTAAATAGTAGAAGGTGAAAATGGTTATTTCATCACCTAATCCCAACAGTAAATAGTCCCTCCAAAATTGTCTTACACCTCTCCCTAGGATAGTATAATCTCCCATATGGGCGATAAGTAGTCCAGCCAGACTAAAAAAAACAAACGTCGGATTGGATACTTCCTCCAGATTACAATCCGTACAGTAAATAGTTCCTCTTATTCCCCAATCAAGCACACCTACGCTTGTTTGGGATGATCTAAATAAGTATATTTTTTGACTTTTTATAAAATATGAATTGGGTTTGAAATGATGTAGTAAAGATGTGATGTAATTTAAATAAGATAATGTGACTTAAATATGATAGTGATTTTTTGACTTTTTTACGTTAGGCCAAACGTAGCCTTACAATAATAGAACATGATGTGAAGAATACGTGGCATTGCTTTATCAACAAGGTAATGGTAGAAAAATGAAAAGAAAAAACAAACCTAAAATAATTACAGAGCAAAAAAATATGGGTTGTTAAAATATTTGTAGTGTACATGGAAAGTAAAAAAATAATTACTAAAATTCTGTAAAATTGCATTTTTCAGCTTCATTATTATTTGCGCTTCTCTCCATCTTCTCTCTCTTCCTCTTCTACTTCCTACCATCTGTAGTCGCTAGACAATCCTTCTCACTCTCTCTCAGACTCAGTCAATGCCAATCTCACCCTCTCTAATCCCTCCCTTACCCCTCCTATCCCTCTCCCACTCCCACCTCAACCTACTTTACATGATTTTGAAACCCATTATACATACATATATATACACAATAATGTTTTGAAATTCAAACAATTGAATAAACTGGAAAAGAAATCCGGTGAAAGGTTTAATCGTCAAGTCAATCAGAATTAAACCGTGATGTCATAAATATCTTATAAATATATTAAAAATTATATATAAATAATAATAATAATAATAAATATTAAGATATGTTAATTGTGAGATCATTTTTGTAATGCATATATTTAAATTTAAGATGCATTATATACCTATATAAATATATCATTTAAATTGTTTTTATATTAATTGCTTGTACAAATAATAATTGTTTTGACCAAAAAATAAAATTTATGCATTAAATAATAAATTTTACTTAACAATTACAAGTTGGTAACATGGTGTAGTGGTTGTTGCAAACCGGTTCTGGATGGGTTTTCAAAAATAGGTTGATTTTCTCCTCTAAAAGGGTATGGTCAAATTTCATCAAATTTTAGGCACCCTTAAATAATTTTGGTATTAGTAGGTTTAAAAATAA